TAAGATTCTCAGAAGGCTTTGCAATGCACAATATCAAAGCAGGCTGCTGGCTTCCACATTTCTTTTGTTTACCCCCTGAGTTTGCTCAGAATTTCTGAATTATTTGATTTATGCATTTCTGGTTTACTCTCCTTCATTCTTTTGGCACATTAGTTTGGCTGTGTGCTCTCTAAAAGCATTTATAGAGCACTTAATGTCTAATACTGGAGCACATTCATAAAGTTATAGCTCCTGCTCAGAAGAATTCAGTTAAGAAAAAATGGTCTCCTTCCCTCTTTTTTTTTGTTTTGTTTTGTTTTGTTTTGTTTGAATCTCTTTACTTCTGGTTCATGGTTCTGTAGGGTCTGATAATCCCTCATATGCTTCCCAGTGATTGATGATCAAACATGCTCAGTTGTCAGTCTACCATTTTAGAGTCTTTGATGCTGTTTAACAAACTCATTGGAATCAAGCCTTTGCTAGTGAATAAAATAAGATCAAGGAACACAAGAAGGTTTTATCTGTGTTGCCATCTCCAGTCAATTGATGGGTAGTTTCCATCTGAGGATTCTGATGGTACTTCCAGGCTCTATGGGAAATACTACCAAGGCAATTAGTCTTTTGTAGAAGTATGCATAGGAGTTAGGTAAAGTGAGGAAGTAAAGGGAAAGTAACATTGTAAGAGGAGGAAGTGTGGGAAAAAGACAAAGAGCATGCCAGAGCATGGTATGTATGGGGGCAAAGTGCAGGTGAGAAGGGTATAAATGTAAAAATTTGGGGGTTCCTGGGGCCAAAAGTTTCAAAATATGAAGTTATGAAACATGAGAAAAAAGGAACCAGGCAGGGTGTTCTCTGCTTAGTTAAGAAGCTTGGACTTTATGTAATTGATTAAGCATTAGAAGGTGTTAAGCAGGAAAGTGATGGGCTTGTTTAGCTTAGGGTTTTAAATGGTTGTTAAAGTGATGACTTTGAGGAAGACAACGTCCAGAAGACATGGACTGAGTTTTTAGGATATTATTGCAGTATTCCATGAGATGGATAACTTGAGCCTGAACAAGGGCATTGCTAGTAGAGATGAGAAAAAGAAAGTAAATAAACATTTAACAGGAAAACTTGCAGATGACCAGGGAAGGAGGATGAAGGAAGGAGCAAAACTTGGATGACCAGGTGTATATTAAACAGTATAGATGATGTATCAAGAATATATCTATAACAAAATACTAATGTTTAGACTAGATTTTACCTCTCTGTGAACTCTCTTTTTGTTGGGGAAGAGGTCCATATAAATCATTTTAAAAAAAATGCATGTCTCCTATTTTTGAAGGATACTAGAAAACAAACTATGTAGGGTATGGAACCAAGGACTCTATTATCTTATGAGATCTCTCTTTCTCCCCCCCCCCCATCTCTCATCTCACAATAAGAAATAATAGGGTCCATTATAAAAAAAATATAGCACCAAAAATAAGTGACTATTGAGCACAGTGACATTACTTATTGTCTGACCCACAATACTTTTAAGAGTGAGAGTTGGAGGGAGTGGGCAAAATTATTAAAATTATTATAACTTTTAGATACGTATTTATCAAACAAGTTGTTTTTATTATTATATTTGTCCATTTATTAAATAGTTCTTTTAAAAACTATTTTCATAAAGAAAATTTTAGTAATACTATTTTGTTAGAAATAAAGACAACATATAATAAGAAATAAAAGCAGACAGGACACTAGCACAACAAGCATCAAGTGGAACTGTCCCTGTCAAGCAGGAATATGGTCACTTGACTTATGAAATCAGAATGGATTTTATGTGCAAACTCCTGAGGAAATAGTTTCATTATCTCCCCTTGTTCATTCATTTCTGCTAGGGATCCGGCAGTGGATGCATGGATGGTTCATTTCCACACATGTGCTCACACTCTAAAGCTTGTTATTGAACCATGGTTTCTGTCTCAGTTGTAATTCTAGCATTAAGTGCTCTATCATTGCCCTAGGAGAAGGACTGGCTGGCTCTGACTGTGGTAAAATGTTCTGCTAGTTGGGAAAGCGACAAGATAGGAACATACCCTGGGGGTGCACTAGATACATTTTGCCATTTGGAGAGATCCAAAATGTCAGGGTCCATGTTAGGAGAAGAGTTCATCAAGCCTCAGGGGGAAAATGATTGTATTTCAACTATTTGAATTTCAAAATGTGGGACTTGGGGTCCTCATAATTGAACATTTTTTAAATTAAAAAATATATGGCTAGGCTGATATAGGCAAGAACAGAACTTCTGGCTTCTGGTCCTTTGGGGCAAGCTGGAATCTCTCTATTTCTCATTAGCTCACTGCTTTTCTAAGCAGCCTTTGCCTTAGTTCTTTTATTTACCCTTCAAAAACAGTTACTGTATCACCTTTGAGAAGACATGGAGGGACCTGGAGAGTATTATGCTGAGCAAAATAAGCCAGTCAGAGAAAGACAAGTACCACATGATCTCACTTATTTATGGAATGTCATGAACAAAATAAGCTGTCAATCAAAATAGATCCAGAGACACGGAAATAGAGAACAGACTGACAAACCTCAGAGTGAAGGGGGTGGGGGTGGGGGTGGGGATTGGGAAGAGAGAAACCAAAGAACTTATATGCATATATGCACAACCAATGGACACAGACAATAGTTTGAAGAAAGCAGGAGGGGGTGGGAGTAGGGAGAAGGAGGTCAATGGGGGAAAAAAGAGGAGACATCTGTAATACTTTCAACAATAAAGATATAAAAAAATAGTTACTGTGGAGAAGAATAAAAGTTTTCTGTGTCCTTTTAGTATTTGGTATTCTCCTATTTCTTAGTATGAAATGGTTAGAACAAATACTTTAGAGTCAGGCAAATGTGCCTTAAACTTTAAGCATATTAGTATCCCTTGAGTGTCAAATTATTTAAATCACCTTTTCTGGTTGGGAATAATCTTGTGGAATTTGTGATAGTATTGTGGTCAGGATTAAATGAGATGTTCCAAGTAAATTCCCTGAACAGTGTTTGTCAAATAATAAGTGGCCGATAAATGGCAGCTGGAATTAAAAAGGAAGAATGAAAGTTTCCATGTTGATAGAGCCAGCTTTGGAGAAAACTGTCACATAGGCTGTTCCTCCTTCATTTCAGCTTCTGCCCCCTCCCCAGCCCCCCACCATCTCCTATTATCTATCAGGACTTGGGGCTCTCAGTATACCATTATGCTCCCTTCCTTTCTTACATTAGCATATTTTGTTCCTGATTTATCTTCCTCATCTCCTTCCTTTTAGACCTTCTGGTCTTGTGATCTATGGTTTTGTTGCCTGCCATATCTAACCTTGAAAAAGTTCTGTTAATGTAATTTATGTTAAAACATTAAAGACTAAGATCGTTTGAATATGCTAGTCTTGCCAGCACATAGGTCTGTTTCAATGAAGGTGTCAACATCATAACCTAAGAGATTAAAAGTACAAAACTTAAGTTGGAAGCATCAGTAATAGGGAGAAAATGCATATTTTTAAAGAAAGGAACTCAATAATAATAAAAATAAACAGCTAACATTTATTGGGTGCCAACTCTATCTTGCACTGTGCTTTATATTCCTTGCCTTATGTAGTACTCACAACGAATAAATTATGTGCCATCATTGCTATTTGTATGATAAGAAAATTACAACTTAGAGAGGCAAAGCAAATTGCCAGAGGTCATATATACCTAGTAAGTGAAGAAAATAGGTTTGAGACTCAAGTCCATACAACTTATCATCATCTCTCTAATGCAGTAACTTACAGGCTAAATTTTCATCAGGGCAGGTATCTATGTCTCTTTTTATCATCATTTGCTACAGCCTCATGCAGTGTCTGGCACATAGTCAACAGTCAATTAATAGTTGATGCATGAATTAATGAATAAATATCTATTCATGCCTGGCTGGTGTGGCTCAATGGTTGAGCATCGACCAATGCACCAAGAGGTCGCTTGTTTGATTCCCAGTCAGAGCACATGCCCAGGTTGTGGGCCATATCCCCAGTTGGGGGCATGCTGGCGGTGGCCAGTCTATGTTCTCTCTCATCAATGTTTCTCTCTCTCTCTCTCTCTCTCTAATAATCAATAAAGAAATAAATTTTAAAAAATTTAAAAAATATTTTGTTATTCATTTACCTCTTTCTTGGAGGCTGTGCCTTGCCCAGGATTTCAAAACTCTGAACTGCCAGTGGTCCCATGTATACTGTTCTGCTTCCTGACTTCATGCTCCATCTTCTTGTCCTCTCTACCTGAAATTCCTTCTTCACTTCCCCAGAAGTCTGTGGGCTAACTGCTTACCCTGTAACACAGAGCTCAGGAGTGACCTTTCTCCATGAAGCTTTCTATCTCTCTGGCCTCTCCTCCTGTGCTGTCCCTCACTGTCCCCTTCTCACTGTCTCCTTTCCTTTTCCCACCTCAGCTCAACCCAGTCAGGGTTCTTTCCATGTCTGTCTTTTCCACTAGATCATGGTGATTTTGAAAATAGATGTCTCACATATTTTTGTATCCTTTTTTTATACCTGACATTTTGCATCTGACATATTTTTTGGTATGCTTCTGGCCTAGCCTAGTTTATTCTAAGGTGCATTTTTTTTTTTCATATTTTAACATCTGTGAAATTGGGATACATGTTTCAGTTAATGATATTTTAAAATTATAATCGAGGGTGTTTTTTTTCTGACTTATTGATACAAAAGGAAGGGTTGATTGCATCCTACAATCAATGGCATCTTAGATTAAATGTAATACAGTAATAGATATTGAATAAATGTTGTATGAATGAATGGATGAATGAATAGCAATCATAGCTCTCCTCAAATTACATTATTATTCCTACTTACAACCTAGCTGTTCTGCATCATAGACAGTGTAGTAGGGAAACAGTTGAGCATTATTCTTTATATATGCTGCGCTTTCTTAGTAAAACTAAGACAGATTAACTAGCTCAAATTATTATTAATTTATTTCTGGACTGGTGTGATCTGTTCCCTATGCTTATATTCTAGGTGAAATTGATCTTCAGATTCTCTCCAAAGTTCAGGCTCAATACCCAGGAGTTCATATCAACAATGAAGTTGTTGAACCAAGTGCTGAACAAATTGCCAAGTACAAAGGTACCTGTAACCCATGGTTCTATATGTCAAATTCTGTCTCCAAAGGCTTATCATCCCAAATTTGTCCCTTTAATCATTAACAGCATTGTTGCTGTGGTATGTTCTTAGTAAGCTTTTTAGGTGAAGCACCTAGGGACAGCTAAACTCCTCAGAATATTAACTGAATAATTAAACTCCTTCATTTACTGACTCTCCATCCATTTATGGTCATCAAACATTATTTTTTATGTTTATTCTTAGAGAGAGTTACTAATTCATTCAGACTTATTTAATCAGAATGCCTGTCCTTAAAGAGCTTATGTTTAATGGGTTATAATGGAAATAAAACTTTTTCTGGAAAAGGTCAAAATGTAGTAAATATTTTAAACTTAGAAGGCCACAGAATCTTGGTCACAGCTAATCAATTCTGCCACAGTAGCACGGAAGCTATCACAGACTACACATAAACTAATGACTGTGGGCATGTTCCAATAAACTTTCATTTATAAACACTAAAATTTGAATTTGACATTATTTTCACATATAACAAAATAGTATTCTTCTTTTGATTGTGTCAATCATTTAAAGGTGTAATGGCATAAGATATGAAAGGCAGAGGCATGATGTCAGGAAGTTGAATAGTATATGTTTTTAGCTTGCAGTTCATTTAAAAATAGGTAGTGCATAACCCATGGACACAGACAATAGACAGGTGAAGACCTGGGGTGGGGTGGGAAATGGGTGGAGGGGGGCAAAGGAGAGAAATGAGAGACATCTGTAATACTCTCAACAATGAAATAAATTTTAAAAAAGTTTAATGGACCATGTATGGTCCATGGGCCATGGTTTGCTGACTCCTGGGTTATAGAACCATGTTTTACATCAGTTTTCCATTGGTGAAACCCACAAGTTGATTCTCCATTAATGCTGAGATTATGTAACTTATGTTTGATTAGAGTTCTCGCAATTATTTCTTGTTGACTCTTTCGTCTTTAATTTGATCGAATACTAAAAAAAAGTCAGGATGAACTCTCTGGTCTTCCAGAGCTACATAATAAAGAAAAAAAAAGTGTTTTATATTTGTTATGTATATAACATTAATTGCATTAAAATTCTAAATGAAAATGGGTTTCATATTTGCAATTAAAATTGACGTTGTGCCACCTCTTTTTTGTATTTTAGAGTTTGTAGCCAAGTCATCAAACCTCAAGAACGTCAAGTTTGCTTGGCATAAGGAGACATCATCTGAATATCAAAATAGAATGATGGAGAAAGAAGAACTTCAGAAGTGGGACTTTATTCATATGATTCAGGTAAGAAATATTTATTGTTATATACTCTCAGAAAAGAGATTTTTCAGAAATATGTATGAAGGGTGACTAATATTCTAACTTTAAAAGAAAAAGTGAGAATATCATTTCTGATTTTTAAGAGAGCATATTCAAATTGAGGGTAAAGATGTTGATAATACTAAGAAATTCTCCATAACATTAAAAAAGCCAGTTCTCTCTACTCAAAATACTTCCAGAATTATTGATTTTTTTTTATGTTGGCTTAATTAATTTTCATAGAACTGAAGGTTTATAGATTTGAGGACAGAAGATTTGAGGACCTAGCACAATTCCCCAGTAACTCTAATGGTCTGGATGGACCAATGTCTCAGAATTTTTCTGAATCCTCTTGCTTTTGCCTTCTGTTGATGACCTAGCATGTGACAAAAAGGCCAGGTTAGATGATTCCTCAGGTTAGTGAAGTTTTATTAACATCAGTCATTCAGTAGGAATTTATTTCTGTGGTCCAGTACTGATTGTGTATTTCTTGGCAAGAGGGTGACTATTCAGTAGATGGTATGGGAACATATTTCCACTGATATTTCTGGATAGCATATGGGTGTATAGGCATCCATTAGAAGATGTGTATATTTTAAAAATATCACAATTAACAACAACATGTTTCTTATTTTCTATAGTCCATAAGTACAGTTACCCTAAAGCAGTGGTTCTCAACCTTCCTAAAGCCACGACCCTTTAATACAGTTCCTCCTGTTGTGGTGACCCCCAACCATAAAATTATTTTCATTGCTACTTCATAACAGTAATTTTGCTACTGTTATATCTTAGGTGACCCCTGTGAAAGGGTCGTTCGACCCCCACAGGGGTCGCGACCCACAGGTTGAGAACTGCTACTCTAAAGGCATAAACTTAAAAGAAATAAAAGGAAGCAATAACTCCAAGATTGTCATATCCAGACAATCCTACATCTCTGAGCTCTTAGCTGACAAAATCCTTTGCCTGTAAGGGAGTGCCTAGCAAACCTGTGTTACTTCTCTTTTAAACTTGATCCCACCTCCTCATACAACTGTTTCATACCTCCCTCTCTTGCCTATACCTCCTGTAACCCTTCCCCACCACTTGTTCCCAACTGGTGGCCCCACTTCATACTGTATAGGGAAAACAGAGAAACCATCAGGTGGAAACTCATATTTCTTCACTCTCCAAATTTACAAACAAAGCTCCAACTCTACCCATCATACCTTTCTTTCACCTTATTACAAAAGCCTCCTTTTATCAAAAACCGATCTCTCCACTTATGCTCCGGATCCATTCTTTGCCTATAATAAAATTTTACAGCTTCAGAGATCATTCTCCCATTTCTCTCTAAGCTTCCACGTTGGGTTTTTCTTATACCAGCTTTGCTTCCTCTGCATTATGACTCTGTTCCTCTGTCCACTCTGCTCTTCTCTGTGCTATGTCTCTGTCTCTTCTTTGTTCCTTATAGCCCTAACACTCTCGTAACATTCTTTCAACTTAATATCCACAGTGAACTACAGGGAATCTCAGGGTCTATTACATCAACTTTCAGAGCATCTACCATGGGCCACTTCCACTTTTTTCACCAGGTCGTGTCATAAATTTTTAGCCACTTAGGGACTAGCTGTATGTGGGTACCTACCTAAGTATGGTCCCTATGGAGAATAGCATGGAATGAGAACATAGAATGTGTCTGCTGAGGCAGCACAGGCCATGTGCAGGTCCATTTTATAGCATTTATTTAAGTGAGAGGGGCATAGATTAAGTTAGTTTTGTTTTATGCAATAAATTCTATTGTGGGAATCTACCTAGAATATTGAATTATTGTCCAAGAGAGGCAAAGATGGGATATAAGAAGTAAGTGTCTGTGGAGGTAGATTCCAAGAATACAAGCCCTCAGGGAAATTTTCCCACTACCAATGTATAATTCCAAGATCTGTCTGTGTTGGGTGTACAAGTCTCTCCCTGGACTTCACCGGAGATGTTCCAGAATCATTAAAAATGGGTAGACTGACCCAGCGTCTTGTGACTGCATGCTTTATCTAGTTCTTTCTTGGGGAATTTGTCAGCATTAGAATCTGTCACATTTTCTGTGATTTTTTTTTTTTTTTAAAGCATCTGTGAGTACATGGTAAAGCTAACACACAGGGCTTAATTTTAAAGCAACGTTCTTTGTAATGGAGTTTGTGTTTATGGTGCTGGCACCATTTTCTCCCAGAAGAACTACAGTTCACAAAATGCAGAGTAAGCATAGAAAGAATTGCCTCCATGTGCAGTGGAGACTGAGCGTCTCCAGCTATAGATGTCTGTGGTATTAAAGCCAGAAAGAGTAAATTTAAAACCACTTGGCTCTATTTGAGCAAATAACATAGCTTCTCTTTCCTCAAAATTTTTTCATATTATTTTTCTCTCTCTTCATATAACATTTTTAATTTTTAAACTTCTTAAGTGTTTTGTTTCGTTAATTCTACTCAACTTGAAAATCAAACTTTCTAGTGAGTATCTAGTCCAAGCGCACAAAGATATTGACATAAAAAAGTGTCTATGTCTCTTTTCCTTCATTTCTAGATGCTGTACTATGTAAAAGACATCCCAGCTACCCTGAAATTCTTTCATAGCCTCTTAGCTGCCAATGCTAAGATTCTTATTGTTCTCGTGTCAGGTAAGTTATTGTCATCCTGCCTGAATTTTAAAACAACAATATTGCATATATGGATGGATGAAAGTGTTTGAAAGCCATATTAGGAAAGTCCTTCACAATAGCCCCCAGTATAGGGGGGTCTCATGAAATTAAATGTCTATTTACTTCTTTCTCCTGAGAAAATTTGTTGTTATCTGTATATACATTTTTTTTATATAACATAGAGAAAATACAACTTTTAATAATTTTTTAAATGAGACTAAAAATAGTAAGTATTTCTGTTTGCCTCCTTTTTGTCCCTTGAATGTCTCTTTCTTCTGTTTGCTATTTATTAATAAATAAAGGTTTAACTATTTGGGATGTCATCATATTTGGCTAATTTGCATTTCTAGAGCCATTATTAATATTGTCTATTATAGGCTTTTTTCAAATAACTTATAATAATTCACTTGTTTTGTTTTATGCTGTTTTATTTTCCAAAGAAGGCATTTGATTCTCTTAGGTTACTTCCAGGGATATGATAATTGCCACACAGAGAGCATAAGTAAACATGTTAGCAAATGAAACACTGACATTGTAGAATTCCTTAATTCATAACTTCTTTCATTCATCAATCTTTATGGATGGTCTATGCAGTGCTAGACAGGTTAATTGTAGGTATACAACAGTTTCTATCTTCTTAAGCTTATACCAGCCCCCATACTCAAAACACTATATGTCACAAAATTAATTTTTTCTTAAATATGAAGAATGGTTTTAAGGATGACAAACATGGTTTTTAGCCTTAATCCTGGGAATCTGGCAGATAAGGCTCCTAAACACAACCTGTTCCCTGAGGAAACATTTTGATATACTGTTTTCATCTCTGGTTAGTTAAAAATACTCATTTAAGTGGGAGAGTTCTATCTTCTCCTTTAAAAGTGCTTATGTAAACTGGATACTTCCTGCTAATCTCTCTCTAAATTAGGACACTTGGGTAATGCACTTTGTTCTACACACATGAAAGCAAAATTAAATTTAGTTATCAACATTAAAGACAGTCTATTTTTGATAATTTGTATCAATAATACAGAAAAAGTATTGCAGACAGAAACAGCATTTCATACAGAGATCATATGTTTCATTTTAGAACATATTGACCATCCATAGAAGATCCACTCTTACTTTTATTTGGTTTACTTTAAATATTTTTAGATTTATGTATTTGAGTGTCAGAAGGCAGCTGTCTATCAGTAAATGTCTACCAATAAGAAAAAGCCAGCCTAAGGTTTAGAAAGTGGCATGAGCAGTTTACAAGCAACTGAGAATTGACTAAGTACCCTTATGGACACAGGATTCCACTGGCTATATAATGAATAAGTTAATACAATCCATGGCATATTGGCATCATGAAATGCGTAAACCAAAACAGGCCCATTGAAATGTGTGATGATACATGAAGCAAGAGTGCCTAGGCACTTCCTAGCTTTGTGAACTTGGTCTATGTATCTGAGTTTATTCAAGGATCATTTCTGTAAAATCATGCCTACATTATATTGCATATATGTGATGCATATGTAATATATATATATATATATATATATATATATATGTGTGTGTGTGTGTGTGTGTGTGTGTGTGTACTTTCATGGGCAAAAATCAAAGAAAGGGAATGAAGGCTTAAAAATAAGTTAGCTTTTTTTTTGTAATATTTTGAGTCAAATATTATTTAGTCAATGTGGTTTGATGGTCAAAATATTTTACTAACTTTTTCAGTTTGCAGTTCATAATTCCTAATTACTGCACACTGTGTGGAGACAGGTATCCCAAAGAAGAACACATTGGTAATGGATACTGTTCCTAGACATAAGCATCAACAAATAATAGTTGTTGAATTAATGAAGGGACTCTCATTACTTCCTTTCTTTATCATATACACTTCTTTCTTAGAAGATTATAATCACCTATAGAAGAAATATCATATACATTTTTTCTTAAAGAACCACTTAGCAAAAGGAAAAAATAGATTTAGGTATTTTATTTTGGACTTTCAACTTTTCTCTTAAGGCTAAAAGTTATAGCTTTATTGCTTCTATTTATCAGAAGAGTTAAGTAAATAAATGTATTTATTTATTTATTTATATTATTATTTTAATCCTCACCTGAGGATATTTTTCCATTGATTTTTTTTTTTTTTTTTTTTTTTAGATAGAGTGGGAGGGAGGAAGTAAGAGACATAAACATTGATGTGAGAGAGATACATTGATTGGTTGCCTCCCACACAACCCTGATAGGGGCCAGGGATCGGATTGAGCCAACAACCGAGGTATGTGCCCTTGACTGGGAATTGAACCCACGATTCTTTGGTCCAGTAGCTGATGCTCTAACCACCGAGAAAAACTGGCCATGGCAGAAACTTATTAAATATAAGTAAAATTAAAAACAAACCACCTTGTTCAATATAGTTTCCTTTGCAGTTAAAGAAAATATTCTACCTTTAAGGGAAATAAAATTGTCACCAAGCTACTGTAACCTGAATGTCTTCAGATTCCCGTCTACAGGCTATTATTAACTCTTCAAAATCCAGAGTAAATGGCTTAAGCCCTCATCCCAAGTAGCTTGGTCATCTCCCCCTTGCTCTGTGACTCACTTCTGAGTGCACCTGGGGTCATGCTTCTGATGGGTGCCAGCCACTGTTTGCTCCAGATTTCTCACACTTCAACTTTTGATTCCTTATGGCCAAACCTTGCCTGGGCTGCAGCCACCTTTTATGATCCTGCTCTGCTTTACCCCAAACATGGACAGAGCTCTACTTCCTTCATTCACCAAAGCAGCACTCTTTGATGTGGGGAGATGAGGACGTCTGTGGGAGGAACAGCAGAAACACAACTCAGCATCAGTGTCTCACAGCCGCTCTTCTTCCAGTTTTTCCCTTAATCAGTAGGAGCTCACTTCTCTTGCATCCACTTATAACTTCTCTCAGACCTCACCCATATCCTCTTAGCTCTGTGCTTTTGCTAAGATACCTACTCCTCACTCTCCCTCCCACCCCTCTTACCTATTACATAAAACAATAAACCTGTGCACCTATAAATCTGTCTGAACAATAATATATCTCCCCGAGATAAATTCGGTTGCCCCCTCAGTATAGAGAAGTGGCTCCAATTTTCTTTTTTAAAAATAGCAATAATTGCCCTGGCCGGTTTGGCTCAGCGGTTAGAGCATCGGCCTGCGGTCCTGAGAGACCCGGGTTCGGTTCCCGCTAAGGGCGCGTACCTCGGTTGCAGTTTGTCCCCGGCCCTGGTCGGTTGTGCGGGTGGCAGCCACTCGATGTGTCCCTTCACATCGATGTTTCTCTCTCTCTCTGTTCCTCTCTCTCCCCCCCACTCTACCTGAACAAAAAATGGAAAAATGTCCTCGGGTGAGGACAAAAAAAAAAAAAAATAGCAATAATTGCTTTGTTGTATTAATAAAGTCAATATAAATATATGGGTCAGCTTTTAGAACATAGTCATGGTCAGTTCCCAAAAGTAGAAACAAATTTAATCACAAGAAATTTCCAATTAGATTTATCTTATATCATTGTCAAACATCATTTAGGATTGATCCACACTTTTATTTAATCATTGTTTTCATTTTCACTTCAAATCTCTGTCTTTCAGACCATTCTGTGAATAGCAAACACATTTGAGAAAGTTCTCCAAGTTATCTGAGGTGCCCAATCAACTTCCTTCCCCCACCATGTATAAAAACTATTAATCTAAATGACCTTCTCAGCCCAAACTATAATTCTGTGAAACCCACTCTCCATGCTTGTCCAATGAACACATTCCTTAAGCTTAAAACTTGCTCTAAAACTTGGAACACCTCCACCAAAATGATTCACATTAGGCTCTGTTTTTATCAGGTTTCTTATAGTCATTTTCTAAATGGAATCCGCTTCATAATTACCTAGAAATGCAGAAACCTGTCCATATATTTCCTTTCTTTCAGGGCAACATTGTTCTTGATAGCTAAAATGCAGTGCAGAAAACTGAGTGTTCATTGTAGACAGATTCCAAAAGCCTAAATTACATTTCATCATTAAATTAAATTTCTAAGAGCACTCGTGTAGCCAATGTTTTATCCAGGCAGATAAAGGTATGTATGTATCAACATCTTGCTCTGTGTGGTCATCTTAAATATCAAAGCAAGGCTCTTGCCTGTCTATCTTAGGCAGATGAGTTATTTCTCTGAATAGACTGAATTCCTCAGTTATTTGAGCACCATACAGATACGCATTTTTACAATTTATTAGATTATATAATAACAACAGATGGGGTCAGTTTCTAGATTTAATTATGCAGAGCACCTAGCGTGGCTAAGGAGCCATGTGTGTTTAGCCATATTTGAAACACAGACTGTACTCAGTTCCACGTTGGCTGCATAGGAGAATTGTCGTATACGTTCGCTTCATTCAGCTTTTATTGAGCCCCTGTAGTCAATCACTGCTAGGCTCTGAAGGTTGCAAAGATTACTTTTTCTTTGCCTTTGAAAGGCTGCTAATTTAATGGAGGATCCAGACCAGACGTGCAAACACTCTCAGCAGTGTGCTAAGTTCCCCATCAGAGGCCTATAGGGAGGTTAGGGAGAGCTACTTGACAGCAGGGTGTTCTGCCTCTTATCTCATCCTAGATCTTTGCAAAGCCTTTGGCACCTAGAAGGCACCCAGTCAATGTGTTTGGATTGAACTGAATAATTGCTTATTATTTCTTCTCTGTGTTATCCAAACTACTTGCTCTGAATGTCATTCTAATAACTAAATAAATAAATATTGTGCTTTAGCTAAAACTTACTACAAAATGGACATAAAATCAGATAATATAGAAAGTTCTGGAGATTTGAAGAGGTTTAATAAACAGAAATAAAAGACTCAACGAAGAAAATACATATATTCATACACACAGGGTGTGCACTGCAATAGGTGGACAAATGCAATGAAGGTTAGGCAAGTAGAACTAATCAGGAAAAGAAAAAGAAATTGAAACCAGAATTAAATGTCA